CCACTGCACATAGGATGGGAAAAATCAGAGCCTCCCTCTACCCCCTTAATGTTCTCATATCCATGAGAAATTAAAATAGACTCTAGAGCAGTCAAGATGATGTGGCAGTTGTGCATGTGCTGTCTCTGTGTTGTCCCCCCCCCCTTCCTGTCTGTATGTGCACTGCAGTTAAGACTTACGGAGTTAAAACTTACAGAGAAAGCAAAAAGGAGAGTCATTGAGAGAATATGAGCCTAATAACTATTTAAGACCCTGTCATCGAGTAGTTACAGAGAGGATGAGTAAATTGGCCTCTTTCACACTTTCAAAGGCTAACATGCAAATTAGTTAATATATACCTAGTGTAAATATTTATATAAATAGTGTGTTTATTTTTTAAATTTATCTTCAGATAAGAAATGTGGAAACAAATCAGTGTCTGGATAATATGGCAAGAAAAGAAAATGAAAAAGTTGGAATTTTTAACTGTCATGGAATGGGTGGTAATCAGGTAATGATGTAAAAGTTTTAATGCTAAAATATTTTCATTAGATTTTGAACAGTAAATGTTTAAAACTTCTATACTTAATGGTCTGTCTTGTTATGATTAATCAGTAATGGAGCTTACAAAAAGATATGTTGGAAAATCATAACTCCATTTTCATGAACAATCAGCATCTGATCAGCTTTAAGCTAGTCACTGGTATGAACCTCCACAGGGATGGTGGATGGGTTCGTACTAGTTATCAAACCAATTCAAATGGTTTCCAGAATGAATTTGGCAATATTGTTGCCTCCTCTTGAAGCTCTGAGTGCTTTATGGAATATGCAAACATTCTGGGCAATTAGCCAGTATTTCTGTGGCACTTCCACCAAGATAACCCATGTAAGCCTGCATGTCTTGTGTGAAACAAAACTTAAAAATTTATTTTTTAAATACACATTCACCCCCACACCCCCACATATCATTAATATTTAAATCAATTTAGTTGTCAGTAATGAAAAGGGGAAATTAACCATATTAAATTAGTAAATGCAGTTCAAATTTCAAGTATATGAATCCTAATTAGTAGGCATTATTTTCTAGTATTTGTAGTAGCAATTGTCATCTCTGACATCAATACAGATACTAGTAAAAAAGCTTCCACATTACATAATTTGTTAAGATTGTGTACTACTTGTGTACTACTTGTGTTGTACTACTTGTGTTGTTAAACATAATACAATAGCTTACAACAGCATGATTGTAGTAAGCTAATAGAATTACAGTTTTCAGTAAAATAGAACAAAAAGTAATTCTAGATAGACTGGGATTTTGGAAAATATTACTTTATTGCCACTGGGAATTTCATATATGCTATTATTTAGGAAACATTTTAAGTGACTAAAAAGGAGATTCAGTTGGCGGGTTGTTTTCCAAATGTTTCATTAGGGAGAGGTTTTATACTCAGATTTTATAATGAAGTGGTGTATATTACTGTAATTAAATGTGGTTTTCTCTCAAGGTTTTCTCATACACCGCTAACAAAGAGATCCGAACAGATGATTTGTGCTTAGACGTCTCCAAACTTAATGGCCCAGTCACAATGCTCAAATGCCATCACTTAAAAGGCAATCAGCTTTGGGAATATGATCCAGTGGTAAGTCTTTTTAGGACCCCAAACTCAAAACAGAAATAGGAATTTTTGAGAAAATATCTGGTTATAAATAGAAAACAGAAGGAAAACTGATGTAAGACATATCATTAATTTGTTTCATAGTATCATGGATGTTAGTGCCAGTAGGGAATAATAGCTGGTGAGTGTCAGAAAGGAGTGGACTCCAGAAAGCACTGTGTTCTCATTTCTGAATTACATAGATATTACAGCTGCATCTTTCCCAATCCATATAAATAGACCTTGCCTGTTTTCTTCTCTGGATTATAAATTACATATATTCAGAAGTAAAAAAATGTAATTTGTACAAGTATCCACCCATCATAATTGATATTTTGTACTTGGCTATATCCCAGACACATGTCTAGTCATGGTGATTCTAAATGATTTTCAAGGCACATCTAGACAGAGTTGCAAGGTAGTCTTTCTCAATGGATTCTGAATGAAAAGTGCAGTCAGAAAAATCTACCAGCATCTTTCCCTGGCCACAGTCTCAAACAGAGCGCTTCTCTTAAAGCAGTAGAGAGTGGTGTACTAGTGATCACCAGATTTCACTAACTTGATTGGCCCTTGTAGTTTGATATTGGGCTTCTCTGTGCTGGCAGTGGCCACCACAAACAAGTTCCAAATCATTGACACAGCAGCACTTCATAGAGTCAGCCATATTCCCTTCTTGTGGGGATGTGATTTGTCTTAGAGTAGCAGAGAAAGGAGGTCTTTTTGCATTAATAGGACACACATTTTTCAGGCAATTCTGTTTTTAGGTGGCAGATGTTATAGCTAGTCCTTGGGTTACAATCACTTGTTCAGCGGCCATTAAAGTTACAACAGCGCTGAACAAGGGGGATGTGTGATCAGTCCTCCAAGTTGCAGCCATTGCAGTATCCTGCAGTCATGTGATCACAATTTGCGACCTTCCCTGCCAGCTTCCACAAGCAAAGTCAATGGGGAAGCTGGCAGGAGGTCGCAAGTTGTTCCAGTAAGTCGCTCCTGCTTCCACTGCTTTTTTTCCTGAGGAGCCCCCACATGGCAGGGCAAATGCAGGCCTCAGGTGGGTGGCTGTCTGCCTGGCCACACTTGCGCCAGGCCATAGCACCCATTTCCCACCTGCCTGTACTCACTCTGGGCTGTAGCACCTGTCTACCCGCAGTCGTACCAGGCCATAGCATCCTCCTACACTACTGCCGCAGCACCCACCCCCCTGCTCACCCACACTCACTCACCTGCCGGCCTGCTTGCAAGCTGCTTAAGGAAAGGCTTGTCATGGCCAGGACTTGCAACTTCCCGCCAATTTCCCCATTGATTTTACTCGTTGGAAGCCAGCAGAAAGGCGCAAGTCGCGGGTCACATGCAGTCCTTGCTTAACAGTCCGCAATCCTTGCTTAACGACAGCAACAGGATCTGCCAGGATTGCTGTCACTAAGTGATGCAGTCATGTGACATCATACTTTACAACCACATCACTTAGTGACAGAAATTCTGGTTCCAGTTACCATTGGTAAGCGAGGACTACCTGTATGTCCATTCTATGCAATCTGTTCTGATGTTCTCTAAAGCTTATTCCCATCCTCCCTCTCTTCTAAGAATATCAGATTACCAGCTCCTAATCAGTCTTTGCAAGATTAAGTGGCTTGTTGTTGTTTTGGTGCCTTTGAGTCAGTGTTGACTCCTGGCAACTGCCTTGGATAGTCCCTGTAGTCTTCTTGGCAAAATTTCAGAAGTGGTTTGCCATTGCCTGCTTCCTAGGGCTGAGACAGAGTGACTGGCCCAATGTCACCCAGCTGGCTTTATCCCCAAGGCGGAACTAGAAATCATGGTCTCCCAGTTTCTAGCCCAGTGCCAGTACACCAAACTAGCTGTCTGTTAACTCGAGTTAGGGGAGAGAAATACTTATGCATCTTGTTTTGACAATAAACAACAAAGAAGTTGGAGGCAGCTGTTCCTATTATGGGTTGTATTTCAGCTGCATTCTGAAATGTGGAGCAACGAGGAATTGTTTTATTTTAATTTTTATTATATTGCATAAGCTTAAGAAGTATAAAAAATAGAGAATGTAAGAAACAAAAAGCAAAATGAAAACTAGAACATAAATAAAAATATAGTGGAGAATTTGGTGAGACATTCTCCCTTCCCTTCCATTCTTTTTCCCAGACTAATAACTAATTAAATATTTATGCTATGCTTTTAATGTTTAATATTAAACATTGGAAATATTTGCTTATATCTGTTTAAATAATTTTATCTGCTGTTTTTAATTAGTCTCTTGACTCTTATCCTAGAACTCATATTCCAAATTCTCAATCTGCCTTTCTCTGTAATATATCATATATAGGGGAGCAATTCCTGCTTAAATTTGGTTAAACTTCTATTATGAATATATACTGTCAGTTTTGCTATTGCTGCATACTCACCAATTTTGGTCTCCCAGATTTGTATCATCATCAGAGCTTTAGTTTTCCAATGTTGTGCCAAGTTTGTTCTTGGCAGTGTCAGCATATAGCTTAGTAAGTTGTGATACTTTTGATTTAAGCTTTCTAGAATTGTTCCCAATAATTCAATATCCGGTCTGTTATTGATGATAAGCAACTTGCTTGATGATATAATTTAAGGTTTGGAAATACAAGCTCAACCTCTTTCTTTTAAATCCTGCAAAATTTTGAATCTTATGCTCATTTTCCCCCCCACTCCATATGAATCTATTAATTATTCTTTGCCAATTCTGCAAAGACTGGGATTGTTCATTGCCCCTGTCCAACCCACACCTAATACAGTTACCAACACAGTGAAGGAAAACCTTCTTAGTAATTCACATTGATTCAGTGCTTGATCTCATCATTCCTCAATTCTGCCTTTGTTCTGGCTTGATTAATCCTCTACATCTTAGGATATACCTTATCAACCATGGCAGTGTTCTCCAGCACTGCCTGTGAATGTGACAATTGCAGGGCTGCTACCTGCAAGTGGTTCTCACTTCAACAGATTTTGAGGAAATACAATATTTTCTTCAACTTTTTGCTTTGATGAACGGACCGGGAGACTGACATGGATTAGGGAATTCATTACTGGTTCTTTTCAAATGCAGAACTTGGTTTGTCCCAGAAATAGAACTCTGCCTCAAAAAGCTCTACTTATCTAAAAGACAGTCTGTGCTTTCCAAGTTTTAATTTTCCATTGATCTTGGTATATTTGGTAGATCAATAAGCACAGCAATGTAAAAATTGTTCTTGTCCCAATTATAGGACTGGTGTTCAACCAAAAAAATGTTCATATTGGCTGTGCATCTTGAAAAGTGCAAGAACCAGTTAGTGGACCAAGTTAATTTAGCATGACAAGCCTACCTTACCGTAGTTCTTTTATTTCTCCAAACAATCTACAGCTACCAGTACTCTACTGAGCAGGGTCCTGTGGGAGATGTATTCCAGTTTGAAATGTCTTCATACGTTTTTCCTCCAATGCCATCACTCACCGGAGTTGTGGCAAAGGCTGATGCTAGCTGCATACTGATTGGGCTTGGTTAGACTTATTTTTTTGAAGGGGGAAAAGACCCTTTTGGTTCCAATAATGCATTTAAAAATGCTCTGTAAAGTAATATTTAGTTATTTTTTTATTTTAGAATTTTCGGACTAATGTCAGATTGAAAAAATCTTTTTGCACCTGCACCATAGTCCATGATTTCTAAAATATGTTGTTTGTGAGATCTATCTACAGTATCTATCTATCTAGGCATATTTGTGAGTGTGAGTGTCTAATGCTCTTTTAGCACCATAGTACAGGCTCATGCTTGTCTCAGGTGGTCAGACAGTTAAGAATGATCAGTTATCTTATATAGCATAAATCATAGTCTAGTAAATTTATATGGATATGGTTTAAAATCAGCTTTTACCATTATTTAATGAACTATCATTAGAAAAAAAATTTTAATTGAATTTTTGAGGGAGAATGTTTGATTATTTTAATCCACCTTGTTTTTGTATTACTTTGCGCTGTGTATTTCATACCACTCTATTTTACAAGAGGCTTGTCCTCTGCTATAGAATTAAGAATCTTTTATGCAGTACCAGAGCAAACTCAGTGAACACCACCTGACAATTCCAGGAGACTACCAGGAGATTTTAAAAGCTTTATTTCAGCAACATAAGCATCTCACATTCACTCTCTCAGTCATTCAGATCTTACATACCAAAGACCTTGTTATCACTGGCTAGGTGCCAAATGGTATGATGTCCCTTGGACTACTCTTTTTGAGATGAATCTTAAAGGAGTGGAAGATGAGTTTCAAACTTTTCTTCCTTCTAGCTCTCTTTTATAAACAATGCTGAATTACCTCAGCTTAATTGATGAGTTACCTAACATAACTTGTGTTATGATCATTCATCAATATCTGGTAGTTGTCCATCTGGTCAAGATGTTCTTTTCCATGACTGTTCCATAACCATGGGGAATACAAGAGTCTTAGTAGAAAAATGTTATCAGTAATTCTGTATCGCTTCATAAAGTCTAACCATAAGAGATTGTGTTGTGTTTAACTGTATCTCAATGATTTGGTCTTATTTAGAAATGTTGGGTTAACTCTCTCTCTCCCCCTCTTCTTTCCTTCTCCTCCATGCATGCCTTTGAACAAAGAAATTAATCCTGTTGCATGTGAACAGTAACCAGTGCCTGGATAAAGCCACTGAAGAAGACAGCCAAGTACCCAGTATCAAAGACTGTAATGGTAGCCGTTCGCAGCAGTGGCTTCTTCGTAATGTCACCCTTCCAGAAATATTCTGAAAGGTTTATAAGACAAGGATTGACTGGACTACCTCAGCAAGTGCATTTGCTACATTCTTATGTACCAAGCAAAGGCTGCAAGATCCTTGACCAGTGGAGCAGTCTCTTCTAAAGTTCTGAGAGCTGTGAGCCAGCCATCCTGGTGTTTAAACATATGGAGCTAACTAAAGGAGTACTTGTGATGCTTTATGCACTAATGTTTACAAGAAATCATTTTGTAGAATACAGTACTTGGACAGTGGAAACATAATCAAGGAAATATGCTCTCCGGAGAACAGCACAACTTAGTTTGCTTGTACATCAGCAACCTCCCAAGGTGCTGTCAAAAATATTCCTAAGATGTTTGTGCAACATTCAATATTTACCCAAGGGTCATATGAAAATATAAATGGGGCAGATTCAAAATAAAAGAGAAATATCATTGACACAAAAATGTGTAAAACAGGGTTTAGAAGCAAGAAATCAGAACTATTAAAACTTACAACTCCAAACATCAAATGCATATGTAGTTAATTTGATTTCAGTGGAAAAAGATGACCAAGCGGAATAACAACTTTTTGTTCAATTGCGTGGTGATCCATTAATTTTTTTTTCTTGCAGTAAAGGCCTTGAACTTATTTTAAACAAAACCAAAATTGACCATAAATAAAATTGGCTCTCCAAATGTTGGATTAACTTTAAAAAATTTTGTCTTGTGACGTTTCATAACTTGTTGCTACTTTTTTTCAGTGATCTGATTTTTTTTACTTTTTTGTGTGTGATTTGCTACTTAAGTTAAAAGTGTGTCAGCTAGCTTTGATCTGACAAGAATTTATTAGTGTATTTTAAATTTGTTAACTGATTATGCTTTATGGCCAGATCTCCTACTACTGTATTACAAATTTCTTTGCAGCAATAAATCTTTCATTCCTTGATTCCAGTCACCAGAGCCTGCAGATATAACTTATTCAGGTAATAAGTAGCTGGCATCTGAATGTTTCCTTAAAGCATATTTCCATTCCATTTTAGGATATCACTCATATTTTTGAATTGTAATGTTCTACTTTTTTCTAATAAAATCAAAGAAAATTGCTAAATAAGCCTTTTTTAAAAAAATGATAAACAGTATCTGCAAAGCTGCTTTGCTGTGCCCCTCCCCCAATTCTGGAGCTAGCAGAAAATCATATCACCCTAAATCTTGCTGCCCCCACAGCATACCCTTACAGCATAGATCAGGCCTGTCCTGCACTGCTGACCACGCAGCTGTAACATGCAGCATTCTAAGGCTGTGATTACTGGTTCCCAGTTCTAGCCCTGCCCCTCATCATCTAGTTCTTACAAAGCCTCCTCCAGTTGGCATGCATAGTATTCTGGTTACCCCCATGCGCTATCATTTTATTCTTTTCTCTTTTCCATTGTACCATCAACCAACTGAACTTTTTTTAATACTGGAAATTGAGAACTGGTCAACTGTTTGATCTAATAATCACTGGGTGGCAACAAAGTATTAGTGGTTTCATATTTCTAGGCTGCCATCTAGTGTTCATCTGCATTTGTGCAGCCAATATAGCTGAGAATTGGAATTTGAGAAAGGGGGTCAGCTGTGGGGATTAGCATGAGAGTTGTAAATTACCCTTAGAACATAATGTGAGGAGAGGAAGTATAGAACCAGGGCTTCCCTGGAATACTTGAGCAGTGACCACTACAAAGGGAATTCCCTACCCCACAGGCTGCGGTTCTTTCAATCACTTTTCACACATACTAAGTCAAGCATGAGCCAGTCAATTTCAAGACTTCACAGTCTTGTTCAACCAGCTGACTAATCCAGATAAAAGAAGTGGCTGAAGAAACAAGTTCTGACCTTCCTTGAAGCCAAAACAGTTCTGAAGGGCAGGTGAAGAGATCAGGGACTGGCCTGAAGGAGACTGTCCTGCAGGAAACTAGCAGAATGAATTGAAGGCACAAGATAGTTGGCAGAGAACATGTCATTTCAACCTGCCTCCCTGATGCACATCAACTTTGCTCCCACACAGCATCTTGAAGTAGGATGTTAGAATACCACTTCCAGAGTGTAGCACTTAAATTGTCCTTGGACTGTCTCAGCTGCAGAAGGCCACTGAGATAAAGGTGGAGAATTGCAGACATAGGCTCAATAAACATCCTTGCACCATGGCAAGGAAGTCATGTGGGTTTGCCCACAGAAAGTTAATTTGCCAGTGTTCCCACAGTCCCACACATTTCCCACAAATCCACACATTTCTTCCCCAGGATATCACCCCCCCCCCAAAAAAAGATCATATAGTAAAATAACGGTGGTATAATTTCCCAGAGTTTGGCTGTAAAGAAAATTTTAAAAATGCATTAACCTACAGTAGACTTAACACATGTATTAACTTAAAATCAAATTTAAAAAGACCCCCTCCAAATTTCATCCCCATACTATCTATTAATGCCACCTCTAACCTTCAGCTACAAAAATACTGATAGAAAGAAAACATGGCCCAAGATGCAGCCCAAAGTAATAAAAAGTTTGCATGCCATTGGTATGCATACAGACTTGTTTACAATGATTGCTTAACTTGTAGTTCAATCTAAGCTGTGCCTTTTAGAAGTCAGATTTTAAATCTGGTATATTTTCAGAGCAGAGAAAGCTCTTCTAAATTACAGGGTGACTCTAGTAATAAACATTTAATGAGTTCTAAATCAATTGAGCATATAAGCAAGTAGAACCATAACAGCAGACATTCAAAAGTAAACATGTTGAAGAGAACACAAACATTTTAAGATCCATATTCAATATTTCTTTTAAAAACAATATACAGGTGAGTAAAATTTATTAAGGAAAATGTTAGTTCACAAATGGCAACCAAATTTGACAACATTTTTCTTCATTGCATTCATTGAATTCATTAAAGACTATTGCACTTTAATGACAATTTTTGGGGGCCAAAAATTCCCAAAGAAAATGCAGTATACTGGTTTTCACAGTATACCTATGAATGTTTCTTCTTGTGCAGTTGTTTGTGTGTGAAAAATTGTTCTGTACAAATAGAGTTCAGTCAATTTTGTAAATAGTGAACTTTGTTTTCGATTTTAGACAGATGCACACTGTCCTGACCCTGTTTTTGTGGGGGGTTTTCCAAATGCAGTTTTTAGCAGGTATATATTGTTACATACGTAAGTACATACAGTTGATATACAGTGTGCCATAGGCCTGAAGGACCTATGAGAAAGAGCTAAAGAACTAGAAATGTAGAAACATTACCATCATATTCTTTCCTTTTGGGATAAGCAACATTATGCAAAGCATAAAAAAGAAGTAGTAAGCAAAATAAATTAAAAGCAAAAGATAAAAATTAGTTTACAGCAACACCATTCACTATACCTTTCTACCCTTACAAACCATCCTTCTTTCTATCAAATCTACACAGATTCATACACTGCTTTTTGTTCTTTAAATTTCTCATCTCTTTCGAGGATCTCGTCAGCTACATCCAACCACAACAGTCTCAAATTTTCTTCCTCCTTTTGACCATTCCTCCTTTATATACATGTTGCAGTCTGATTTTTATTCATTCTCTCTGTATGGCCATACCATCTCAATGCACTACTTTTGAACTAGGCAATCACTTTTGTATTCATTCATTCATTCATTCATTCATTCATTCATTCATTCATTCATTCATTCATTCATTCATTCATTCATTCATTCATTCATTCATTCATTCATTCATTCATTCATTCATTCATTCATTCATTCATTCATTCATTCATTCATTCATTCATTCATTCATTCATTCATTCATTCATTCATTCATTCATTCATTCATTCATTCATTCATTCATTCATTCATTCATTCATTCATTCATTCTTGACTATCTCTTCTTATTTTACTACACATTTATTAAGTAACCCTGGCCACCAGTACAGGACAGATGTCACAGTCAGATCATCCTCATATCATTATCCTTCTCACATATTCAACTCTTACTTCCCTATTATAAATTGGACAAAAGCACAGCTAGTCTATAAGGAGTGAACGTATGTCAAAACAACTGAAAACAACTACAGCTACTATGCACTAATTTTCTACCAACATCTGTGGAGCTGAAAATTTGTCTACCAGTAGCCCTTGCTTCGTGACCACTCATTTAGTGACCATTCGAAGTTACAACAGCATTGAACAAGACTTATGACTGGTCCTCAAAGTTGTGGCTGTCACAGCATCCCTGCAGTCAGGCACTTAGCAACCAGCATGCAATTATAACGGTCAATGGGGAAGCCGGCAGGAAGTTGCAAGTTGCAGTCACGTGACATCACACTTAACAACTACATGTGATTCGCTTAATGACCACAACCAGAACTGCTGGAACTGCCATCGTAAGTTGGCATGGTCACATGATTTTTTGCTTTATGACCATATCACTTAGCAACGGAGTTCCCAGTCCCAATTACAGTCGTTAACTGAGGACTACCTGTATTTTCCCATTTTTAATAAACATTTGTATCAGTCTATTTGATTATTTTTTTGCCATTTTCCCTGTCAAACTACTATAGTCTTTGATAGATTAATTTTTGAAACCTCCATTGCTCATTGCATCAATGCTCAGAATCATTGGGAGTCAGGTGACATATAAATAAAATAATAAAATAAATAAGAATGATCTAATATTTGGAGCAAATTGTTCAGTTTCACGGCCAGCAGCATAGCATGGTCTGCATACAAAACAACATTCACATCTCCAACCAACATGCCTCTAATGTCACCATAAGTAACCAAGGGGATAGAATACATCCTTGTCTTATGCTATGCTGAATATCAAATCACACTGAGAATTCACTTACTGTCATGCATGTTTTGCATCTATCATATACCATTCTTATCACATTCAGCTCCCAACCTTCAATACTGCATTTGAGAAAACCATTCCATAATTCAAGCATAAGAGAGCCAGTGTGGTGTAGTGGTTAAGGCCTCAGGCTAGGAACTAGGAGACCATGAGTTCTAGTCCCACCTTAAGCACAAAGCCATCTGGGTGATCTTGGACCAATCACTCTGTCTCAGCCCTAGGAAGCAGGCAAGGGCAAATCACTTCTGAAATCTTGCCAAGAAAACTGCAGGGACTTGTCCAAGCAGTTGCCAGGAGTCAACACTGACTTGAAGGCACAACAACAAAAGCATATTCACCTTATTATACACTTTATCTAAATCAACAAATGTACAATAAATGCTCTCATATCCAAATATCTTGGCTGAAGAGCAAATGCCTGGCCTGTACACCCTTGCCTGGCATAAACCCACAGTGCACTTCCCAAATTTTGCTCATTGTTATTTCTTGTAGTCTCTCAGAGTTCTACCAAACAGCTTCCCAGGGACACTTAAACTTTAGTTTTTGTACAATTTTGTATCATTATTTTCCCTTTGTGTAAGTGAACAATAACTGCATATTAAAGTCTCACAGGCACTCCATAAGCAAAACCACATTCCTATTTTAACCATTGTGGAAGTGTGTGAACATGATCTGGTGCTGGCTCAGTGCCTGGAGGCTGTAAGGGCCTGAATGGGGAGAAAATGGCTGCGACTCAACCCTAGCAAGACAGAGTGGTTATGAGTTTTGGCCCCCAGGGTCAGGAGAGTTGATATCTCTGACTCTGGACTGGGTAACACTCCCTCGGACAGATCTGGCACACAATCTACACAGGGCTCCCCTTGAAGACCACCTGAAAGCTGCAACTGGTCAACAATGTAGCAGCACATGCAGTTTTTGGTATCCCGCGGTTCACCCAAGTAACACCACTCCTACGTGAGCTCCATTGGCTTCCAGCTGCTTTCCAGGTACAATTCAAGGTCCTGGCACAGGACCAGGTTACTTGTGAGACTGCCTCTCCCTGAGGGTATCTGCCTATCCTACTAGGTTAGATAGGGTGGGTGCACTCCAGGTCCCCTCCCTTAAATGTTGCCATCTGATGGGACCTCGGAGGCATGCCTCGGTGGTCACCCCAGTCCTTTGGAACAGCCTCCCACTGGAGATCAGAAGGACCCCTATCCTTTTAGTCTTCTGGAGGGCTGTGAAGACCTGC